CATTCTAAAAATAGCAACATTTCCACCTCCTGCCGCTATATTGCAGAGATCATAACTGCAATAAGACACTAAAGAACGGCAGAACACCAGGACCCGACGGTTCAGCATCGGAACTACTGAAAACTGACCCACATACAACTGATCCACGCACAGATCATCCACCCGTTAATAGAACGTTTTTGGCAGTCAGAGAACGTTTCATCCGAAGTCAAAGAGAGTATTATCATAAAGCTTCTAAAAAAAGGGGGATCTCACAGAAAGAACTAATTGGCAAAGCATTACTCTGTTGAACATGATTTATAATATAATAGCGCATGTCATCACCAACAGTCTTTTAACAGCATTAACAGCAACGTTGCCCAGAAAACAAAGTGGATTCTGCCCACACAAGTCTTGTATTGATCACATAAACCGTCACATAAACCGATCACGTAATCGTCGAAAAGTCTGTGGAATGAAGATCAACTCTTTATTTATTATTTATAGACTTCGAGAAAGCCTTTGAAACACTATGTCACACCGTCATTTGGAACGCGCTTGAACATAGGGGTGTGCCGCAAAAGATCATCAGGCTCATCAAAGCCCTACAGAAGGATGAAACTTGCCTGATACTGCACGAGAAATATCTAAGCGAAAAAATACTAATACTGAAATACTAATAAAACCGACGTTCGACACGGTTGCGTAATGTCGCCGTTGCTGTTCAGCATCGTCCTGGACGTAGTCTTGGCAGACGCATTGGGTCAAGGTGGCGGAATAACTTGGGGTGTTCGAGATAGTTTCAATGATCTAGATCACGTCAAAGACTTATGTCTGCTGGCATACAGATATATGATATATCTCGCAACCTAAATTGATAACTACGGCACATAGAGCACGACTTAAAATCAATTTTACCAAAATAAAAGTTATGCACATTAATGTTATCTTCCAAAATCCTTTTATTATAAACAACTGCTGTCTTGAGGATGTAGAGTCTTTTTGCTATCTTGGATGCATCATATCAAAAAATGGTGGATCTAGTGCGGACATTGAGAAGCGTATCAAGAAGATTAAATAATCCTTTGGTCGCTTAAATAAAGTCTGGAGAGCATATCAGCTATGGCGTCGGACTAAAATACGAATATTTAACTCCAACACAAAATGTTACCTGCTATATGGATGTCAATCGTGGAATACCACGGAAAACGCCATCAATGTACTACAAGTTTTTGTAAATCAGTCATTGCGCAAAATTGTTAAAGTATTCTGACAAAATACAATTTTGAATGGACGTCTATGGTTCCTAACTCAGCAAACACCTATGAGAACCGAAATCAAAAAACGCAAATGGGAATAGGCCGGCCACACTTTGCGTAGACCGACTGGTAAGAATGGCGATTGAGTGGAACCCGATGAGTAGCAGAAGGGTCACCCCCGCTCACACCTGGAGAAGGCAAATTGACATGGGAATGTTACACATGCAAAAAAGCTGGGGAGAGTTGAAGCTATTGGCCACTAATCGTACCGAGTGGGAAATATTTCTTGCGGCGCTATGCTCATCCTAGAAGTCAAAGGATTAAATATATATTTATAGTGAATGCTTGGTAGATACAGGATCCGACGTAACGATTGTAAATGAGAGCATTCCGGAAAAGTTGCAAAATGTGGAAATTTGCAAAAGTGCCCCTATCTTGCGCGGATTAGGTACCCTAAATAAATGCCAATTGGTTTTTTTAATGCACATGTTGAGGTAGATCAACTTAATATCGAGTATAAATTCTTAGTTGTACCAAATGACAAGGTAAAGAGTTAATTTATCAGCTTCGTAATCAGTTAGAAGATACTGAATCAGCACGCACGCTTATTATAAAATCACGTCATATAGCTGAAGCTGAATTCACTGAAGTACAAACAACGTTTATTGAGTCACATCCGACACGCAATGAAGCTGAAGGTCAGGAAGGCTGAATGTTAGGACTGAAGCTGGCAACCCAGCCTATTTTTGGATTTTGGCTGGCAATACGGACAATGAGAGAGAGTTAGTCGTAGTAAGGTGTTATATTTTTTTTTTTTTTTTTAACGAGGACTCAAAAGCATCGAAAGCCTAAGTCAGTGCGAAACTTTAATCCGCTAAAAACATGTCCTCATGTCCGGACGGAGAGTCCCTCCTGGAACTACCGTTAGGTATTACGTCAGAAAGGCGTCCTGAGCATTAGCTCAAATCGTTAGTTATGTCGTCTGAGTTCGTAACTGTCCTATTTCTTGAGGTTTTTTTTTTTTTTTTATTTATTATTAACGATTCTTCAAATAAAGACAAAAATCGTTTTAATATTGCACCTAGTACAAATAACAAAAAAAAAAGGTACTAATAAACAATTTTATTTGAATATTTAATGTAAAAAAAAAATGAAGCTATTTTGCTACTCGCTGTCCATTAAGTCTGCCACTGTTTTTCTTTTTAGCCGTCTAGATATTGCAACCACCTGGAGAAGACTGGATGCTGTAACGTTGACATGTGTTTTCAATCGCTGTTTGTGAGCAATGGCACACCTTTTTGCCACGACGTCGACTGTTGGTATGTCAAGGTCACGGTGGAGATCACTGTTTCTAATGTAATATGGAGCATTTACGATGTATCGTAGTACTTTATTTTGAAAGCGCTGGATAGTTGCAATGTATTTCTTGCTGGCACAGCCCCAGAATTGTATGCCATAACTCCAAGCCGGCTTTAGTATTTGATTGTAGACCATTAGTTTGTTGTGGATTGCCAGTTTAGAGCGCCTGCCTATGAGGTGGTAAAATTTCTTTAGTTTTAGGTCAAGCTCTTCTCGTTTTTTCTTAACATGCGCTTTCCAGCGCAGCTTGGCGTCAAGCGTAATGCCCAGATATTTGGCTTCGTTGGCGTGTGGAATTTTTGTGGCATCGATATGAATTGGAATATGGTTATAATTTTTCAATGAGAAGACTATATGTACTGATTTTTCCTTATTGAGCTTGATACTCCATTTTTTTGCCCATGATGCAATTTGATTGACTGTGTGTTGCAGATTAGCCGTCGCGTCTTCTATATTGTTTTCGATTGCTAGAACCGCAGTATCATCTGCAAATGTTGCTGTAACTAGTTGGTTTGCAGAGGGTAAGTCGTGTGTATACAGGAGATATAGAATGGGCCCAAGAATGCTCCCCTGCGGGACGCCTGCGCTAATCTTCTTTAGTGCTGAATGTGCATCTTTATATTTAACACTGAAGTACCTGTCGTTTGGATACGATGATAGTAGCTTACAGTATTGTATAGGCAATAATGATTTAAGTTTATGGAGTAATCCTTCATGCCAAACCTTATCGAAGGCTTGTGATACATCTAAGAACACGGCACAACACACTTTCTTCTCTTGCATCGCCGATTCAATGGCATTTACGACTACAAGTATTTGGTCGATGGTTGAATGGTTTTTTCTGAAGCCGAATTGATGATCCGGAATTAAGCGTCTTCTCTCGATTATTGGTGATAAACGCGCTAGTAGTAGTTTTTCAAAAAGCTTCGATAAGGTTGGCAATAGAGATATTGGCCTATATGAGGATACATCATTGGGAGACTTCCCTGGTTTAGGTATCATAATTACCTCAGCGAATTTCCAAAAAATGGGTACATGTTTCAAACGGAGGCACGAATTAATTAAATCGCATAGGTAGCTGATGCAGTTATTGGGTAAGTTCCGAAGAACTTCAGCCGTTATTAAGTCAAAACCAGGAGATTTTTTGAGTTTCATTGTCAAAATTTGTTTTCTCACTTCTTCCGTAGTGACTGGAACAATTGCAGCGTCACCTTCGGGCCAATTTGTACTTGACCCAATAACATCTTGGCCTTCATTTGGACTGAAGGTTTTCTCTAGGTGTTCAGCAAACAGGTTCGCCTTTTGAGAATTTGTTGTAGCCCAGTGAGTTTCGTTTATTTTTACTGGGGCAGACTGCTGCATTGGTCTGTTAAATGATTTAGCAGCTTTCCACAAAGAGTATTCATTTTTTTTGTCTGCCGTGAGGCCCATCAGAAAACTATTAAAGGTATTATTTTTGAATGATTTGATGGCTGTGCGTAACTTTTTAGTTGCTCGGTTTAGTTGCGATTTAATTAACGGACATCTTGTTGCTTGCCAACGTTTTCGCAATTTTCGCTTCTCCGTAATCTTTTTTGTGATGAAGGGTGGGTATTTTTTACCATGTTGAGTTTGGAGTTTTGGTGTTGGTGTACTGTTCCACGCTGCCATCTGCAATTGCTGAGTGAAATGAAGTACTGCGTCATCTAGTTGCTCGCTGTTAACAATATGATCAAACTTGTGCAAATGTACAAGCTGAAGCTGAAAATATTTCCAGTCGGTAAATTTATTTGCTAACTTG